TGCTGTGTTCCACGCTTAACACATAAGGATTTCACATAATTTAACTTAAAGCTGCACTAATCTATCATTTTATACAAACAATGCATCAACTAACTGTGTATAATGTAAAAGTAGTGACTCATAGTGACAAACCCACAGAGAATTATCACTCGACTCTGAGTCGAGAGGTTTTTTTTTAGCTCTTTTAGCTCATTGTTTTGGTTTCTGCAGCTTTTACAGCAGGTTTTACAGCAGCAAGAAGTTGTTTTTGGCTAATAAGCTCCAGTAAAGCCACTATAGGCAACCTGCCCAGCACCAAATGACAGAGAGACAAAGTGAGCTGCTAGCTGGTTAGCATAGTGGAGAATTTAGCAGCTAAAGAGAAAGATATGTAGCTCAGGAGTTGGTAGGGAGCAAACCAGAGCAAAAAGCAGAATGTATATTGGACTTGCATTCACCAACATGACTCATAATGATGCTAATGTAGCTCTTTGTCTCATGGAAAGTGTAAATAGGCAGCTGTTTGCTAGCATGCACCAACTTTTTTAGCTAATGATGTGTTAATGTGGTGTTTTCAGTTTGTTGCGCCACCTCCCAATAGGTCAAAAAACATACATTAATACAGAAAGTACATAAATATTATCTGTAAAATAAGTAGTAAAATAAAGTGCTTTTTACTGTTTATGAAATGCATTTTACAAATGTATTTTTTACAGTCTGGCAAACCAAAAGTTGTCTCTAAAAATGAATAAATGGTCTGTAATTAGTCTATAAAACTATAATAAGTAGGCTAATAAATATTAATAAAGCCATTACTGTAGTTGCAACTCATAAACTCATAAACATAAGCCTTATTAGAGAGTAATTTTATGTTGTAGTAGTAGGCTGGATTGGGGGGAATTCTAAATATTTCTGTTGGGTTTGTTCATTTTCATAGACAATGCGCCTCAAATTTTCTTACGGATGGTCTGTTATATGTTTTGTCTTTGTTAAAATTAATCTAATAAATGTAGCACTGTAGGAAGTAGCAAAAAAAGGTAGCAATGTATAAAATAGCTGTAATTTTAAGTACAGCTTCCTTAAAACTGTACATTAGCACAGTACTTGTACTAGTAAATGTTACTTCCCACCACTACAAACACACTGAAGAAAAGAGAAGATAGACTGCATGATGAGGTTTAAGGAGAAAGCCAGTTCTTCAAGTTGTAAGAGAAGGTTTTATTACCAGTGCTATTTACATAGAAATAATACAGCCTTGCCCCTTTTCCCCCCTTTAATGCACACACGCACGCACATGAGCAAGCATACGCACATCCCCAAGCATTCACACACACACACATACATACAAGCACACATACATACACGCTCACTTTTGTATCCAAGAATATCTCAGTACATCAGAAATAAGACACATTCTCTCTAGATCTTATACAATGTTCAAAGGAAACGCAAATTATCTGAAAACAATATTTCAAGTTAACTCATTGCGGACAAACAGCAGTTTAAGTGGTAAATGTGTTTAGTGTGAGACATGTTGTGTATGATGAAACAGAGCTGAAAGAGTAAAGATGAAATGGGTGTGAAATGAGGAATTGCAGGGAGGTTTTGTATTGAATAATATCAGCTAACTTGGGCTGTATGTCTCCTTTCAGAAGCAGCATTATAAGGAGAGATGAACATTTCCTTTAATGCAGTTCTACAAAGGCTGACTTTTTTAAATAGGAGCCCTGATGACACTTGGCCCTGAAACTGCAGAATAACCTATTGGCATTATTTAGAAGTAAAAAAAAGAAAATAATAATAATTTGTCCTCTGCAGTACAAAGATGTTCACATGCACACAGCCGGACTCTCTGCTGCTTTAAGCTGATTTTTAATTCTGTGTGTTTTAAGGCCACTAGATGGCAATGAGTGCTTCAGAGCAGACAGTGGTAATGTCACAGATGTTGTCTGCCCCCTCTTTTGTTTTCTCTCTTTAGAGGAAGGAGACCTCAGCTGTTGAAGGAGATTCTCCATTATGGGTTCAATGTTCTTTTGAAAATCATTTCCATTAAAACATGTTTTTTAAAAGGGACAGTAACAAAAGGAAGGTCAGGTGAAGCAGTCTGTAGAGCAGAACTATCAGGGCCGGCTGGGTGGGTGTGAGATTTGTGTGTGTGTGCGTGTGCATGCTTGAGTGAGTACAAGTGTCTGTATAATTGTGTACGTGTTTTGAATAATGGTATAGACATCCTTCTTTAGAGCTATGATCAAGAACACTTTTTGTGCATTAAGGGACTTATAGCTGAGATGTTTGGTAGAGAAAGTCAATGCCAGAGGTGTGTGTGTATATGTGTGTCAGTTTCTACCAAGGAGCAGCCTTTGATTTGACAAATTCTCTTACAGAGGTGTACAGAGTGTTTAAAGCAGCATTTTTTTTAACTAAAAATATCATGTCTTGATTGCCACATACGTGTTTGAATGTGAACATTAAAGCTGGTCCTTTGTCTTTTTAATATTGAGGGTAGAGTGTGTTAGAGAGGTGTGGAACAACAGAATGAAAAACCAAATATTGCTTTGAAGCAATGTTTAAAAAACCAAAATGTGTTCAGAAATTAAGAGAACTAAAGATGTCCCCTTTGGCATTTCTCTCTAATGTGTTCCTAGAGCATTATACCTTCGTTAACATCAAGGGGAAGGCGAGAAGCATTTTTGCTGGGTGGAATCGCAACCTTTTTTTAAAATAATTCAAGTCCAGTAATCCAGGAAGGGATATGCTTTGGAGTGTCTACTGGGCAGCAAATATTACTCTTTCCAACAAGCTGTCCCATTCTTGATTCCGTTTCTGTGTTTCCATCAGTTCGTCAGTGGTGAAAATCAGTTGTGATTTCTAAAAAGTCCTCCATAGAAATTTCAGCTGTACTTTTCACTCCACAATGTGGGTTGTTTTTCCAGTTCATCTCCTGAATTAACTAGGCTGACATTCAGCCCAGGAATGGTCCCTGTGGTTTGTCCTTTACCAGGCTGTGGTTTCCCCCATCTCCTGGCCTTGGTGGGACATAGGAGCGCTGTAGCTGGAGTTACTAGCCAAGGAGAAAGGAGGACTGGGTCCACCCCCGTAAGCCTCCCCCGGGACAGGCTGCAGGGAGCTCGGTAAGCCCGGCTCTGGACTGGGGGTTTCTGCGTGAGAGATCATGTCCGTGAACCTTTGGTCATCTGAAGGGTGGTGGCCTGATCCCTCCATGGCTCCTCCGGAGCTGAGGATGTAGGGGGACTCGGCCGGAGACTGAGCCTGCGAGGATGGAGGGCCGTGGGGGAAGAAGTCGTAGTTACTTCCTGGTGCGTAATAGTCACCTTGGTATTCTGTGGGGCAAGAGGAGAACACATGGGGTTAGACTCTCTATTAAGGACTTTGAATATACATAGAAACAGTCACACTTTCTCACAGCAGCGAGCTGATTTTACACACACCTCCACCCCTACCTAAGTGGTGAAATTGATCATGTCCAATTTCCAACCAACCGGTCTCCAACAGCCTCATTTGAGTGTATAAACAACTCCACACCTCTCCACCTCAGTTCTCTCGTCTTTCACACACTGCATTCATCTCCCTCACTCATTCAGTTCGCAGCCATGCGTGCGCCGCGATGGATTCCCCTGCTGAAACTTCTGGATTTGGATGAGGAGCTCCAAAATGAGATTCCAGCCTCCCTGCAGCCCTGCCAGGTCCTGTCGGCTGCATCTCTCCATCACGTCTGATCCAGCTTCCAGCAATATCCCTCTCCTCTACGTCGCTGGCCTTTTCCTGAGCTGCACAGACCACGCTTCATTATTCCCAGCATGCAATCCAGTTAGGGCTGCAACTAACGATTATTTTCATTTTCAATTAATCTGACAATTGATTTCCAGATCAATCAATTAATCTATAAAATGTAAGGGAAATAGTGCAAGATCACAAGTTCCTAATGTGAAATCTTTACGTTGCTTTTGTCTGACCGACAACAAGATGTTCATTGTACAGAAAAATAATCAAGCAGAAAAGCAGCAACTCCTTATCTCTCCTCTCCGGTAAAATATTCACCAATCACCTAATCAATTAACAACTCAGAGTCCAGCATTGATGCTACATCCCAAATCATTTTCCCCCTTTAATTACACCTCGCTGCTCTTATCAGCTCATGGTTTCAGTTTTTTATCCATAATTACTCTAGTGGCTCCTCCATTGCTTGGCAGTTACTCCACTTCATTTTTACCGTGATATCAATTCTGCAGCATCACAAGACAAAATAGGAACCCATCAATGTCGGAACCCATCGGCTATCATCCGGCGACGATTCAGCCTCGGAGGGCAACGACAAATGTCTTCCAACAAAATCTTCCCTTGCCTACAGAGTCTGAATTCATATGCAGATTGTTGTTTTTAGAGAGTAGTTCTCTATCGAAAAACACAGTGCCTGTTTATATGTCAGGAAATCAAAAGAAGATCTCTGTTAATAATTTAATGATTTCAAAATATCCACACGCACAAGCAGCATCAATGGCTTCTTTAGTCTGTAAATTATTCCAAACCTACTGTATATGGCTCTTTGTAGTGTCACTGAAAACCACAAATGGAGGGGTCAGGGAATCACAAAGGTCAGTAGGATTCATCCTCTGTGGACTGTGAATGTCTGTAGAAAATGTAACTAATCAGTCAGGATGAAAGTGGTTGTCTAACAAACCAAAAAATATCTATTATGTATCTCATGGGCTGTTGAAACCCCCAACTTCAGGTTCAAAAACTTCATGACTGACGTCTTTCTTGTCTAATAATGCTCCTCATGGCAGTGCGGCATCAAAAAGCGGCATATTAATGACAGAATAAAGCCCAAATTCCTTGCTTTCACAGAAAATCTCCAGCACACTCTGGGATTTACGAATATTCTCTACCCAACCTCTAACACTGACTGACATGTTTATGCCTCTGAGAGGTTTTGGCAAAATTTGGTCTCTGACATACCTCAAACATTTTCATTCATAATCTATGAATTTAATGAATCTCAAAATGTTTTTTGAATGCTGTCCTTTCCAACCATGATTCAAATGTTTGGTTAACAGTTATGTCACTTAGCTATGCTTTGATACTTATGTGCCCAGGTTTTAAGATATTTGTCTATGATTTCTGCCTCCAAAGCGATACAAGCAAAGTGAATGGTATTTTGTTTCTGCCGCTCACAGTACTATAGGATTAGAATAAAAGAACACGTATTTCCACAATGTCTACGTTTTCTGGATAATTAATAAATTTCACTGTGAACAGTTTTAATAAGGACTGATCCTGGTGGATCCAATTACCACAGCTTACAGGATGCTCTGTGGATCCAGATCGAGTAACAGGGAAGTTGTTTTATATTGTTTAATAGACCTTTTCCAATGCTGTGAGCACTAAAAATAAAATTCTATTCACCTCATTTACACTGTAGGGGAGACAGAAATATCCGAGGCAAATGACACCAAAACTATCCCTGTAGATAACAAGAAAGCAAGAAACATTTGTTTTTCTTTTGCTCTTTGGGTGTACCGACCCTTTACTGTCAATCAGTCAACAATCCAATCTTGAGCACCAAGTCACTTTAAGATCCATCCAGTGCAAACCGAGCAACTGAGCTATAGTTGGCCTTTTGGACTGGCACACAGTTGGTCACCCGAGTCTGGAAGACCTCTAATATTTGTCCGTTAAATATGAAGCTGTAAAAAGCTAGCCAGCGGCCAGTTAGCTTAGCTTAGCCTAAAGACTAATTCTCAATTGTTTAATCCTTACAAAAACAGAAGAAGAATACTGACGAGTATTAGTGGGGGGTCATGTCGTGGCTCAGTGACTTCCTGTAGTATCAGCTGGTTGCCTGGCAACCTCACAGTAAAGACAAGACTCGGACAGAGCTGGGCTAGCTTTAGGCTAAGCTAACTGGCTTCTCGCTGTAGCTACATGTTTAAGGGACAGCTATGAAAGTGCTATTTACCTTCTCGTGTCGTGTGCTTCTCAAGAAAGGAAATAAGCGTATTTGCCAAAAATGTCAAAATATTCCTTTAATCCTAAACCAGGGACCGATACCTCAAAACAAGGCAGTGCTCTACATTCAACCAGACTGCGCAATGATCCTTTCAACACAGCCACAGTCTCAAAACAAGGACTGCGATAAGAATCAGACTTACGATGTATTGCTCATACGGCAAATGTTTGGGAGGACGGATTTTTTTGCACATTCATTTGACGTGCTATCAGCAATACTGATACTGCCAATACAGTTTAGAAAGGAGTCATCCAGTACACGTGTAGCCAATTACTTCACAACGTTTGCATCTATTAACAATTAAAAGCCTCCACCTGCCTTCTGCTTCGTTCTCACCTCTTCTACATTCACCCCCCAAATTTGCTCCCCTCTGCTCCAAATTACCTCAGTTACATGAAATCCATTCTGTTTCAACACCACCTCGAACTGAGATCGATGGCAGACTTTATTCCGGTGCCCCAGATGTTACACTAGCATTTCTCCACTGCCACCATATGCTCTTCTCCTATTTCAGTCTAAACAGGCAGAATCAGGAACTAACAGGTTAGATATCAAGAAATATGTTGCCTAATCATAATGACTGCCTTTATTTGCTGTTGCACATCGTTTTTAGAACAATAAGAAACAATCAGAGCTGACATGACTTTCACAAACAAGCCAATTATTTGATCTCACAAGCAGGCCCCTGTTAGTTTGGCCGACCTTGAGAACAAGCAACAAGCTTGTGTTGTAGAATTGTGTGGTGTATGCCTGTGTGTTTGTGTGTGTGTGTGTGTGTGTGTGTGAGATGGGGGAAGAGAGAGGGGGTGGCATTGGCTCTACAAACTATAATTACACTCACACATGCAGACGCACCATACCACACACAGGCATTCCTCCCTCTAAGCAGCGGCAGAGGAACATAAGGAAGCAGCGAGCTCAGATAAAGGCGAGCAGGCTGGCCTGTGCTGCTGCTGCTGCGGCACAAAAGAGTGTGAAAAGCAGCGTGCAAAGAAAGCAAGAGAGATGAGAGCGAGGGATGATGGTTTTGTCCTCAGTTTTCCCCTCCCACACCCTGCATCTCGGCCCTGACGGCTCCAGTTTATTGTATCCTCAATGCCCGGGGCCTTCAGGTAGATGTGCATGAGATGTATAGAAACCACGTCTCTCTGACTGTCCATGAAAAACAAACTGCTGATATACATGACAGGTGCATCTGGTTTATTCCTCCAGTTCAATGTGGTGCTGTTTTTGCATTAGCAAGGTTTTTATTACGTGCTGCCCACCTGCCATTTTCTTGATCCAGGCGACCAATAGAGGCTTACAATGCTGATTTTCTTTTTTGCTCAAGTGGTCTTGACAAGAATATTGATTTGAAGGTGTCCACACCAACTGATCAAATTGTGTTCTACCACGTGATTAGAAAAGAAAACTACTGTGTGAAGAAAATAGCTTATTTTATCAACAATTCATTTCACATGTGGAAAACAGCAACTAGGTGTGCCTTCACTGGAATGAATGCACAAAAATACAGTAATATCCAAGGTGGTGATACATTTGTATTTGCCAAAGATACAGACAGTATGCAGAAGATTACAGATATTAGATTTTTTATTTATTTGATTCTATAATATGATATAATATAAAGATCTGGATACAGATCCACAAACTTGTATACCATTGGATCTTATCTCCAGCGTCCAATGGAAAGAATCTTTCACAATGCGATAGCTGCAAATATTTAACATCAAACATAAAATGTTATGTAAAATTAACTTCCATCCATTTAAAAGGATTTTTATGTTCCAGATCAATGCTGCATATTTTTTTATATTTGTCCTGGTCAGTGAATGCAACACCACATACACCCTTTACATCTAAGTCAGCAAAAAGGTATAATTTCATGACTAGCTTTAATGCTAAAGAGGGTACAGCTATTTATAGTTCACATATATGTTCCACAAAGTGTTAATAAATAAATGGTATACTGTAGTATGGAAAATATATTTTTATATGAATCTGTATATCAGTGTTTTGTTGACTGGAGTTAATATCTTTTTTAGAATACTTAAACTTAATATATCTGTGATTCATTACTACTCTAAATTATCAAAGCTACTTTTATTGAATCTAATTCAATGTGCTTTTTTATACCTTCATAATTTGTTAAATACATAGCAGCTTTATTTCTAAGGAGGAAACTAATAACTTTAATAACTGAAGAAATGAACACAGAGTTTTTATCAAATGCTGTGACCTGTAAAGGGTTATAAGTCACGGCTTCATCTTGATTAAAACTAAAGAGACACCAGAAGGGCGACACCTTGCCTCTGCAGAGTGGCACAGACATCAAATCTCACAGGTTGTACTTTATTTTTTCCAGAGTTTACGCTTGCTTTTTCTCAAGTTCTCCATTTTGAAAGAGTGTAGATAAATCAATCTAAATTGCATCTTTCTGCTTAAATGCATGAGTGGAGTATGCCACCCATGCAGCAACACTTTCACCGCTTGCTTTGTTTATGAAGTGTCTGATTGGAATACATCTGTTCCCCTCTTACATTTATCCTCCAGGCTGTATAACAAGTTGCAGTGTGTCACAGTTATCAGATTTTTTGCTTATTTTGAGCCTTCAACATCTTTACTTAAATTCCTCTGTGAACACTGAGATGAAGCAAACTATTTTGTATTTTGATCAGTTAACAAAAGTTTCTTAAAGCGTATTTTCAAACTAGAAGTGAAAAGAAGGGAATGTTCACACTGGCTTAATAGTTCCCAAGGTTGGAGTGAAATGAAAGACAGATCATATACTGTGTCTTTGAATGGAAGATGAATAAATTAAAGAAAATCATGTGACCTTCAATGTCCAAATAAGGGACACTGAGGTTACAGTATCTGTAGTGTGCAGTGGATATGTAATCGTCTGGTAGATACTGTAACTATCAGCCCTATTCGTGCTGCTGAAGGTTGCAATTAAGTTACACAATATCACGTTTTTGAAGCGAGGGTGAAAGCAGGATACAGATTATTTTTACTACTACATTTTCTGAACAAAGCAGAGCCCCATATTTTACAACAATAGATACAGGACATACAGGGCTGTGCGCTAAATGTGTATTAGCCAGCCCTTTGTGTACTGTCACAAGCTAAGACTTCATTTCTTACCTCCGTAGTAACCGTAGGCCCCAGGTCCTAAAATGTCTGGATCCTCCAGCCTGCCTCCCAGGGGCCTCATCCTCCTTGGGCCCCTGAAGAAGGCGTGCCGCCGGGCCCCCAGAGCACTCAGCTGCTTCATTCGTCGCTCTTTGGATCTTCTGTTCTGGAACCAAACCTGCATCAAACCAGAGAGGTTAAAGGGGGGTCAGAGTTACATCAGCTGATCTCTTCATTTCAAAAGCTCAGTCTGAAATCATGAACTGCGGCCATTTTCCTTTAAATTTCAGATTGCACGTCGTCATTCCTCAACCACTGTTTTCAGTCAAACTTCTGTCATGCTAAGAGTGCAAATCATGTCATTGTAAGATTCAGACTCTGATCACAATCACGACAGGATTCAGTCTGTTGCATCTTGCAGACAAAACGCATGAAGCACAACTAACAGAACTGGAAATAAATTAATATCAACTTAATATGAATCTTGATCATTTTAGGTAATTTCACCGATTTATTCAATTTCATGCTCACTGTTACAGAGTTCGCCTTGGAACTATGATACAAATGGAACTTTTTTTTCTATTCTGATAGATTTAAGTCAGGAAAATTCCTTTACAGGGCTCTTATTCAAAAAATACAAACTATTTCTTACAGATGACAAAAGGTATTATGCTTCTGGCTTATAATTACTACAATTCTCTGACACCTCTGTCAACATTTTGAAATGTATTTTAGTGTATAACAATTAGTTGTGGCCTCTTTTCATTCGTGTTAATTGAGGTGTAAATTCTTGGATCTCAGCATCAAAATAGCTAAAAACAACAAAGTAAAACTGTTCAAATCTGGTAAACCATTAAAAATACACTTAGATATGATCAATTTAGTGATAGCAGAGAAATAAATGGGAGATAAATATAAAATAAATGTTACAATATATCTGGAAAGCAAGAAAAAAGTATTAACGACTAAGTCACAAATTAGGAAGAGCATAAAGATGCTCTGTTTGAAATGAAGTGTCTTATCTATGACAGAATATAATAAAACACTCTTTCTGCTGCACTTTTCAGTCATGAATGCATTTTCCTGTTGCAAAAATAAATGAATGGCAAGATAATTCATATGCACAACCTAATGCACCTCCGCTTAAGTTTAAATATAAACAGTTGGAGCAATAACTCAGGGTATAAAAAGGGCTTATCACTAACGTTAAATAAACTGCCTTTGAAGAGGAACAAAGGAGGATTTCAGAATTGGAAAACTACACGCCATATGGAAGAATGTCTGCATTATAAGCACATAACACATCTTGTTTCGCCTTTGCATCACTGCTGCATAATGATGTATGTTCAACCCAGCTAGGCTACACCAGAGGCAGAATCCCACTGTGCTGCAGATTAACCAAAACACACACACAAAAACACCTAAAACCACTTAGGCTCTCTTCTGTGTGCTCCAGCGGCAAAGGCAACACCTGCTTATTGAGAACAATCGTCTAACTGTAGGGTACATTTTTATGGAAATGCTCTCGCTCCCCTCGAGAGAGCGTTGCTTAGGGATTACATACACATGCTGCTGGAGAAGCAGCGTGGCTCACAGGGCTCCCCATGTTGAGAGCAATGGTATTTAACACACACTGAACGAGGAGGAAGATGACGAAACAGAGCCTCCATTTTGGCTCCAAGCAACACACAGGGGTGGGGATCATGGATGGAGGGACGGACTGCCCGCCTGCCTGATTGATTGATTGATTTATTGACTGTTTGTTTGAGCTCTGTTGATGCAGCTCTCTCTCTGTCACACACACACACAGCAGCCTGCAGTGTATGATATAGATGAGGCAGTGGAGGGGCCCCGGTCTGCTCTAATAAGCAATGGGAACAGGCTGTAAGTGAGTAAGAGCAGAGAGGTGGGAAAGGGGAGGGTGGTATGTAAATCTGTGAAATCAGCGATAATTACAGTGAGTGCACAAAAAGCCACATCACAGTTGGCAGAGATGGTGCTAATCATCCTGACACAGTCTGCACCCAGACACCGGGTGTGTGTGTGTGCATGTGCGCGTAAGTGTTTGAGACAGATAGAGAGAGGTCCAAAACAGTGCACGCTTGTGTTATACTGCAAAAACATGTTTGTGTGCGGGGTTCCTCTCGCCTTTGGCAAAAACAAAACTAACCTTTCACTAATTTCATGGCTGTGCAACACCAATGATTACTGGAATAAACTGCCGTCTGCACAAAATAAACAATATTCTTTAAAAACAACATGCTGTTTATTATATCCATGCATCAATAAACTGGATTACTTGATCTTAATTTCAGAGAATAAATGAGTGCCTGCAGATATGGATACAGCAATGTAGAAACTGGAGGCCAATGCAATTAATTGAGGAATTAAAAAAAAAAAAAAAAGCTAGTGAAGTTTAGCATCATTAAATTTGAAAACAATAGTGCATTAGATAAAAATATCAAACTGTGTGCAAATTGATTTACAAAAGTTAAAAATAGAATAAAATAAAAGAGAAAGAATTTCATTTATTTTAGATAATAATATTTTTTTTAAAACAGAATTACTGCAATATTATATTCTGGGAGAATTTTGGACAACACACTGCTTCCACATGTATGTGTTTTACTTTTAAACTGTTTTAAATAAAAGGTAAAATGCAAATTAAAATACAAACTGCTCTGTGTTTGCCACGTGTAAAAGCAACTATTATCATTTTAGGAGTCTTTTTCTATCATTAATATTTGAAAACAATTCCAGAAAATAGAACAAAAAAACAGACAATTCTAATGTGGATCTATATCCCTGTTAATGGAGCACATCATGCTCTGACATTCCTCCAACAGATAACGAAGCCTTCAATTAAAACCTCTGCGCATTTTGAGCAAAATTAAGAAGTAATTCCACTGATTTATAATCCGTCATTTCTCTCTAATTTGTCTTTGTCTGTGCAGATCCTCCCTCACACCAACGCACAAAGACCACAAAGAGCGAGCCGCCACACAGCTGATCTTACCTGGATGACCCGCATGTTCAGTCCCGTTTCCTGGGCCAGCTGTTCTCGGATGTGCCGGGTCGGCTTCGGCGTGGCGACAAACGCGGCCTTTAACGTTTCCAGCTGCTTGGCCTTGATGGTGGTCCGGGGCCCCCGCCTTTTGGTCCCCGAGTTCTGCTCCTCATTCTCAATATTGTTCGTTTCCTTATCTGAGGACGTTGAATTGTCCGTCTCTTTTATGTCGTCCTGTATTGGGTCCTGCAGATCCGGCGATAAACTCCTATCCGTACACGACGACACTGGGAGGGGGGGACACAAACAAGAGGAAGGTCACGATCCGAAATGTCAGGGAGGAGGGAGGGCGGGGGGGGGCTTTAATTAGGCCTTGAGATTCAGAAGCAATACAGACTACACTGGAAAATATTATATTTTAAACCGGTCAGAAAAGGCATTTAATAGATATGTTTGCACTTATTTTTCTTTTTTTTATGTATTTGTTATTCTACAGAGCTGCGCGTGACTAAGTTGTGCTTATTTTTAAAGCACAAATTGAACCTGGAAAGCCGAATATTCCTCCCTGAAATGTACAAACATAAACTGCACACTGATATAACACCTAAATGAATATATGTCTGTAGGAGATCACAACACAATGCGGCTGTATGGAACAAGAGAGCGTGGCAGCATCAGTACACAGGGCGTGGAGTGGGGTTTCTGTAAGGATGAATAGTGGAGAGAGGAGCAGCACTAACATCCCCAGTGGATCCTGGCGTACAATAACAGAAAGCCATTGTCCTGCGGAGGTAAATATTGAAACCATTCATCTGAGGAGGTTGTTGTGAAACGCTCTCCACGGACTACTCGAAGTGAATCTTACAGCACACGTAAAGCCTCCACCCCTTGTTTGTCTTTGCCCCCCTCCCCCCGAAAGGCCGGTGTCTATTTTATTCATCAGATATTTATATAATATTCATCCACGTATATCTTCCATTAAAATAAAAAAAGGGATGTGTTTGCTTTTGGAGATCGAATCGGAGACAAAAACAACAACAACAACAAAAACCACCACGCACACATCTCGGCTTATTATTGATTACCTGAGTTCAAGTTGACTTCTTTAATTGCCCCGGAGCTCATATAATCTTCTTTGCACACAAACTTGTTTTCGTCTATCACATAGAGTTCCTCTCCCGTGGACAGCTGCTTGTTACACACCATGCAGGTGAAGCAGTTCAGATGAAACACCTTGCTGCGGGCTTTGCGCACCAAGTCGTTTGGCGAGATTCCCTGCAGACAGCCCGCGCATTTTGTGCCAAACCGCCTGGAAAAAGAACCCAAGAATTCATGTGAAAATGATGTTTTCTTTTTTTTAAAAACAAAATCAATCTGTTTAGGCCCACACATAACGATATAAGCAGCTTAAAAAGGGTCCTATTAAAAATTACTCGAGCCTTTGTTTGGATAACAAAACATTATATAATTATTATTATTCCTTTTTTTTCTTAAAGGCCTTTTATGTCGATATATGTGCGTAAAAGGTCAAATATAATATCATAATAGTTGGGTAGGTAAGCGACATATATTGGCTTTTATTAACAAAAGTCAAACTATAGAAATACCATATATATACCATATAATAACAATAATAATAAAAATATAAAATAATAATAATAATAATGTGCTTCTTAATTCCCATTTTAGTAAAAGCCCGTATTAGCATACAAGTATTATGTAATTAGTAAACAGTTATTTACAATAAACAAAAGCATGTCTGTCTGAGAGTGTTAATGGAGGCGGCGGAGAGCTTTTAAACCAGGAAGGAAGAAAAAAAAAAACAAAGTCAGAGTTTCCTTTTTTAAAAACTGGAGCCAGAAAAAACCCGCCAGCTCATTATTATTTTGATGGAGGTGCTCTGACAATAACCCCACGCAAAACGTATTAGTGACAATCAACACATTGTAGCCAAGGATATATTATAGGATTAAGCAGAGTAGGAGCATCTTAGCGTGAAAATCTTCTCTTAATCCATATTCACCCGCTTAAATACCGAGAGGGAAGACACTCATCAATTTGATACACAAATAGCCCCCACGAAAATAAACTCAGCAGAATTTACTCCTGCTGATCTGACAGGATGGAGGTTTTTATTTTTTCTAATTGAAATGAGGAGAAGAGGTGAAAGAGAACACATCTGATTTAAATGTACAGATATTCCCTCACCTGCGCTGCTGCTTTTATTAACATGAGGAGCTTGAGCAGATGTTCGAGGCTCACACTGGGCCCAACTGTACCTGGGTTTTCAGGCGGCCTGTCTGGGGTTGGGTGGGGGCGGGTGGGGTGGTGCTTAAGCCTCTGGGTGAAAGCAAGCCATCCTTTTGTGCAGCATTGTTTTAAACCACTAATGTTAGGCTGTCTCTCCATTGGCAATGGGTATCGCTTCCACTTGTCCCCCTCCTTTTCAACATGGGCACGCCAAGCCTCCCCCTCCTCCCCCCCACCCAGCGAAAGGGCACACACTCTAACTTACACAACAAAATGGAACATTATTAGGGGTGATTACTGTTTTCCGCCTGGCTAATGGCTGGCCATTAAAATTCCCACCGCTTGATGGGACCTTCAGTTATATATAATGGATGCCTAAGGCCGAATCCGGGGCCAGACCGTAATAGGGCCGTCCCGATCAAAATCCGTACCTGTCTTACATGTCATTAAACAATTGGGGGAAAATAACTGACCACATACAAAATGAAAATGATTGCTAAGGAAGGCGACGGGAAAACAAGGGCTTCACTTATCACTCAATTACCTTGAAACACCTTTTTGGGAATTGTAACCGTTAATAGCCTAATTGGGTGTTTTTGGGGGGATAAAAGTTGTTTGCCTTGGATGTGGAAAATTAGATTTAAAAAAACAACCGCCAAAGGGCAGGAGAATACCACGTGGGGTTTACAGACAATATGACAATATGTTATAAAATTTAGTATGTAACGAGATGCCACTTTCTTTTTATATACAGTTTTACCTTTATAAATTATGATCTGTAGAGGCCCCTCAAAGAAAATCGGCCACACGCTCACAAAGCGTGTGTGGTGATGCCAGCTATTTTATTTTGCAAGGCATCCTCTCGAATATGGCCAAACCTAACTCCGGCTTCTGAGTCACCTCAGATGGGAGTCCTCAAGTTTATATTTTTTTACATTTATTCTACGTGGAAACTTGTTTTATTTCCCCACATATTTCTGATGTATTTATAACAACTAGCGTGTCAACCTATGGCGTCCGGATTAGGTTGTATGACCCCTGTTGCTCAAGCCAGATTTAGACGATTCTGTGGACTTGCTTGGCTTCCCATTATTTAACTCTGATACTGATGTCTCCTCTTTTTTTCCACCTTGCTCAACTTATGTTGCATATTCTTTCCGATCTAGATTGCATCCCATAGAAATATTGATATTTCTTATTCTTAGAAATTCGAGGCCGCAAGTGGGCGAGAAGAACTAGTGTAAAATCAGCTCTCTGCTGTTTACCTCTGCATAATACAACAAAGCAAGTCCCATTTTTGCAACGGGAATAGAGCTTCCCTGTTGCCCTGGAGAGAAGCGCGACTCTATACTTGCGGCTAGACAGGCTCTGCTGCGCTTGCAGGCACTCCATCTCGCACACGGCGAGGAACTGGACGCCTCTATGTCCGATGGCACAGGTCTGTCCAGCCACGTTTTGGAGGGAGAAACCGTCCAGTATGGGCCGTTTTCGCACCCGGGCACTGTTTTGGACCATCATCGTGATAACGCGGGCTGGCAGGGATCAGCCAGTTCAAATGTTGTCCTGTTCCTTTTCCCCATCACTAAGGATTGCTCTCTGGAACTACGCAAAGTGAATAACCCAAATCTGCAAAATATCTAAAAACGACAGGAACAACTTTGGCTCTTCTCTCGGTATGGAGGGTGGTCGCTATCTGGAGATGAGGCTATCCGGTTCAAAAGGGCATCGAGAATTGTGAACAGTTTATCCCCTTGGGAACCAATTTTGTTGTAACACTCGCTTAATTTATCCCAGTACAAGTTTACACTTGATTTCGAATAATGTTAGGTCTTGTCCTGGCAGTGGCGCCCTAGTTCAGTGCCATACAGCCATTGACTCCCCAATAGTCCTATTGTCGAATGGACTTCAACTCGTTGTAAAATATTTGAAGA